ATATGAGATGTATATGACTCATAAGACATACATGTACATGTAGCATGTGGTTTCTTGTTCTTGGCTGTGAAACATGTTGCCTACATGCACCTTGACTCTCCACAGCGGTTTTACGTTGCGACGTCCCGTCAGTTGAAGAGAATCGAGTCCATCAGTCGTTCCCCCATCTACTCTCACTTCGGTGAGACGGTACAGGGCACGAGCACCATCCGTGCGTACGACCGCGAGCAACAGTTCTTCTTCCAGAACCAAGCCAAGGTGGATGAGAACCAGGTGGCATACTACCCCATGATTGTCTCCAACAGGTGGGTTCACCGTGGGAACAGTTTTCCCATTGGTCCTAACTAGAAGACTAGACAAATTTACCTTTCTATCCTTGCTCTTTCTATAAGGCCACAATGACCTTATGGATGACATCCTCTTAAGACAATTTAGGATGGCACCCAAGTCAGAGCCTCGTCGGAGTTCTACATCAGTCGTTATGCAATTGGTGAAATTCTAGGAAGTGAATTTGTTGCAAACCTTTTAGTATACATGTAAATGGATTGAAAACTCCCTTGCAGATGGCTGGCCCTGAGGCTGGAGTTTGTTGGGAACTGCATCGTTCTGTTCGCCGCCTTGTTTGCTGTGATTGGTCGCGAGACCCTGAGCCCAGGAATAGTGGGTCTGTCCATCACATACGCCCTTCAGGTAGAGTTTGTTTTCTTTATGTTCAACCAGAAATAGATGCAAACACATTTTAAGTTACCCTATCAGTAAGTTATCTTGATTTAGTTGTAGAATAATATTATTGTTTACTTAAAATTTGTATTTATCCATAAATGGATGTATTTTAGTCGGCTTCTTTCTCATTGTGATCGTAAATGATGATGTTGTAATTTTTACTTTACGTTGGGGTATGTCCCCCAGGATTGTTTCTTTGAAAAGCACCTACCAGTGATAAACACTTCCTGATGAAATAATGAAATGCAATTCCCTGTTACTGTGTAGATCACCCAGACCCTGAACTGGATGGTGCGCATGACCAGTGAACTGGAGACCAACATTGTGGCAGTGGAGAGAATCAAGGAATACGCCGAAACACCAACAGAGGTAATGATTATCTATTAGTGAGTACTTTTCCAGTGTTCAATCTTTTC